TTTGGACATTTTGGCTCTTAAGCCCAAAACAATATTTTTCCACAATCAAGTCCTTAACTTACACTTAAATATTCCTGAAAATTTGGGATATTACACTCACCCCTCCTAAAAAGGAGTTTTGTCCCCAAAACTCAAATTGAGGACCATATCAAGTGGTGAGTGGCTTCACACAATCCGAGACAAAACAATTGCCTCATCACTTTCTAGGAACAGAACACGGCCTATTACGCTTCCGCTGCGCCACTCTGAAAACAAATCACGACTAATCTTAAAAAGCAGAACACTAATCACTTAACAAGATTTGCCATCAAATAAGCTACTGGAGGCTGGGGTAATACGGAAAGCACAAGGAATAAAAATAAATCCTGCCAAAGCCACAAAAGAACAATTGTGGGGTTACGCTATGAACCCATCACAAGACAAGTTGGCAAAGAATGGCATGGATTTAAAGATGAATACAACAAAACTTTGAACTCTATCAAAGACGGATAAGCATCCAACAGATATATGGATCATGAATGAATGAACGAGTGCATGGATGCCTTATACATTTTGCCACAAAACAAGATTAACCAATAGGCAAGGTCATATTTAACAAAGCAATTGGAATCAAGAAACAAATTTTAGCAATTAACAAGAGTTAAAAGCTAAGACCATCAAAAGACATGGAAGACTCTCAAGAATTGCAACAGAATAAAATCAATAGAAAATATGAATGCTTGGAAGAATACTGGAACACAAGAGTGCTAGGTAGAATGCCTCAAAAATTCAACAACAAAACGGCATTCACCAAGAATTAAGATCAAATTTAACCAAGCAGTCAAAATTGAAAGACAAGAGTTAACCATGAAACAAGCAATAGAATTTCAAAAATTAGGCCCACAAAAGAGATTTCAATAATGACAACCAGCACACGAATTCAAGAACAGATATAACCAAGATGTCAAGATCTAGCACCTCAAGTACTAGAATTAATTAACAGAACAAAGCAATGGCTGGGATCAAGATGCTTAGAAGATTACTATCTTCTAATTAAAAGGGCAAACAAAAATCCAAGCAGCCAGATCAAAGAACCATTTCACTTGGAACAAAACTCTAGGGCATCAGGTACTTCAAAGACTACCCCTTCACCTTGTAGCTCATGGAGGCTAAACAGATTTACAATCAAGTCATCCTAGAGTCAAGTCAAAGTCAAGACATCAAGGATACAGAGTTTAACTCTTGCAAGAGACAAGAATTAGGATGCCTCATATAGATATTTTGTGATAATCGTCACCCCTCCTAAAGAGGTGTCCATATGAACAAAAACCAAGAATCAAGAAGATCAACAAGTATACTGAAACAAGAACTAACAGAATATGCAGGACTTGAGCAAGGGCAGTATACAAAATTCGAACAAGAGCAAGGGTCAAGACAAGAATGGTTTCCAAGGACAATTCAAAATAGATTTCAAGAACAGTGCAATAATTAATTTCAGACAAGAATCAAGATAATGAGGATTCCAATAATCATTATCCATTTCTGGATTTCAGTTTCAAGAACAAGTACAAAGCAATCTCAAGAAAGATTCAAGACGGATTTCAAGAGTTTCAAGCAATTTCCAGGTATCAAGAATGTAGAGATTGGCAACAATAGAGAGTTTAACTTTATGACAACTTGCCAATCTTCACAAAACAAGGCAATTTCAATTGAATGATCACTGCTCTCGATTAACCAATACAGAAAAATGAGCCACATGAAAAGACCACGAAGCTCCAAATAGAAAAAAAGTGAAACTTCATTATAAGACTTTCAGAAGATAAGGAGCAACGGAATTACCAAGTAATCCAACTCCTAAAACACATTTAGAAGACACACAACATTGGCTAAAATAGCCTGGAATCTCTTACAAAGTCGAGAGTTGCCCATCTTCCACTAGTCATGTGACAAACAAAACAAACTCTCCACCAGTTATGCTGTAGAGACTAACAGGATCAATAACAAAAGTCTCTGCAACTCCCCAGATTTCACAATTGTGGCAAAAGAGCACACAAATTCTATTCACGTAACAAGCCTAAACAAGTGCGGACTATCAAAAAATGACCAAGTTTCAAAACAAGGTCTTCAGGACATAACGGGCAAGATTACTTTCACAACTTCACACAGAGTATGAAGGCAAGAAACAAGAACAATCAAATCACCATCTCATCGAAATGGATGAGAAGAATTCAGGCAACATGAAATAGAATTGTCCCTTATATAACCACATCACTCATCTCACCATGGGTCTAAAATCCACTGGCTAGCCAAGTCCAAAACAAATCCTAGGTATTCAATTAAACCTAGGCTCGATATCACTCAATCTGCTCTGATGCCACTCAATCTGGAGGTGCTTAATTTAATCTTAAACTCTTAATTTCAACCTAAGCTCTAATACCACTAAATCTCCAGATATCTAATTTAACCTAAGCTCTGATACCACAAAATCTGACATCACAAGATCTTAATTTAACCTAAGCTCTGATACCACTAAATCTTAATCAAACCCAAGCTCTGATACCACTAAATCTGGTATCACAAAATCTCCAAGTACTTAATTTAACCTAAGCTCTGATACCACTAAATCTGTCACGCCCCAGAACCCAAATCCGGGGACGTGGCAGACGCCGTACACTCGTGAGACGGGTCCCACAAGTGCACAAGGCTCGGAACTTAACATAT